AGAAAGTTTGGGTTACATTGCAAGACCCTATCTCAAAAAATAGAATGAAAGTGGTGAAATGGATGGCTGGAGGAGGAAGCATTTTCTGTGCACGAGCAAACATACTATATGAAAGAATAACATGTTTGTGTGCTTCTCGTAAAAGCCTAAGAAACATGAAATAATTGGTAACATAGGAGAGAGTGGAGATAATTGAGAACTGTCCATAAGTAGGTGAGAAGGAATCCAGTTTACAAGGGGAGAATTTGGCTTTTGATAGGAATGTGACAATTCCTCTGTAGTAATTAGGGCTCACGGAGAACATGGGATAGATATAGGTAGGTAGAGGAAATTATCTTCCTGTAGTGTCTGATTTCTTAATAAGGATGAGGTTTGGGGAAGTATATAGTTAGGAGCATGAAATAATTCTTTAGCAGAACAAAAGAATAAATGAATTAGAGAAATATAGAAATACCGAGGTATCCAAAAAGCTGCTTAAAATTTCTGTTCAGGAATTAAAATATGGCTGGGGGATTTTTATGTTCACCTGAATAGGTGTACGCATGGGATAGGCATATAGTTGGTTTTAACCGGGCTTGAGGTTTTGACTGGTGAATACAGTATTACACAGCATATTACAGGTTCTGGGGATGAGGTTATGAACATCTTTGGGAGGCCATTATTATTCTTATCACACTGTGCAAGTTTGGTAATGGGCAGTTGGAAATTTAAAATTGAAATGCAAGATGAAAATAGATTTATTTCATAGACCTTTATTAAGCTCATACCCTGTGCCAATTACTTTGCCACATCCTGAGGCTTTAATGATGCAGTCCTGCTTATTATTGCTTGGTTAAAAGGGGTATACACATGCAAATAAGGAGTCTGATATATAAGGACCACAACTAATGTAGAAAGTAGGCATCAATCAAAATAATTTTCTTTGAGAACAGGATTGGGAAATTTTACTTCAGGTAAAGAAGATGTATAAGTAGTGCCTTTAGGTACAATAGTGCCTTATCCCTGACAAAGAGAGAAGGTTCTTATCTTTGAAAAAGGGAGACAGAATTCAATGTGAAGGAGGAATCAAGTTATGAAAGACTTTGTATTGCAACATTATAAAGAGAAACTTTATGTTATATGCTATATGGAAAGTCCTTAGAGGTTTTGAATTTTAATTCCATTTTAAAAATTATCTATCTATCTATCTATCTATCTATCTATCTATCTATCTATTTTTGAGACAAGGTCTTGCTGTGTAGTTTAGGTTGGCCTGAACTCACTATGTAGCCAGGGTAGCCTTGAATTCTTGGAGGTCCTCTTGAGTGCTGGCATTATAGGCATATGACAGCACTCCTGGTGAGGCTTTGAATTTTAGGTTAAGAACATTTTTCTTGGTAATATGGAAAATGGATTGAAGAGAGAGCAAAATTGAAACATGGAGATCAATTAGAATATTATCTAATATAGATAAGAGCTAAAGACTTGCACTAGGTAAAGTTATAGCAATGTAGTTAAGAAGAAGAGATTTAAGAGAATTCAGGAGTAGACTGACAGGGCTTGATGGCAGTTAGATTTGGTAAGTGGGAGGTTAGAAGAGGAGTCAAGATACTGTCTAGATGCCTGCCAAAACTTTGAGATTCACTGTAAGGAAAGTGCCTGTGTTACATATTCTAAGTGAATTGTTTCACAGGAGAATCTGTGAGTGATTCATTGTCTTGCAGTCCTTTTGAAATGTTAAGATTACTTCTATAGTATTGAGCTAGGAGTTAAGGTTGATGTGGACACTGTAGGTGCCTAGGTTGACTTAAAAAAGAAGGGATAATTATTTGTATTATAGAAAGCATTCATCTCAATAATTGTTGCATAGCAAAATAGTTATATATGTACATTTTTATGTAAATTGTAAATTTACACAACTTCACAATGTATGGAGAACATTTAATGTACATATGCTATTATCTACATATGTATTTAAATAATTGCTTTAGAAATTCTAGATTGCTTAGCTGTTGATTTATTGTAATCTCTAGAACCTTGAAGTTGGCACTACTGATAGCTATTGCTTATTAAGTACTTTCCATTTGCTCTGGCTAAGCTATTTGTGTTGATTTTCTCATTTAATCTGTACAACAACCATAGGAGTAAGTATTCTCATGAAGAAGCTGAGTAGAGAAATGTCATGAACTTGGAAAAGGTTTCATGTACAGTGAAATAAACAGGAGTTAAAATTAAGAAAGTTTAAATCTAGAGTCTGCTTTTCATGACTATGCTATTTTATCATTAAACTTTGTTTCCTTTTATTTACCATAACATAGTCATTTAAAAAAATCTCATTTTGCTTCTGTTTGCTACATTTTGAGTCTAAAAGTAGTAGAGTCTTGTCCTCATACTTGGTGAGTGTGATTTTTATTGAATCATTGATTGATTTGATTATAATGTTAAGCCATCTTCCAGTCAAGTTGACATTATGAATTACTCCTTATGGTATTTTGATCAATATACAATGCTTGCAGCAGTAATTGTTTTTTGGAGAATTGTATTTTACATTTACACATAGGAAATACTGAATATAAACAGTGTTGAGTACTAGATGCTTTACGGTAATATAAAAAAAGTGTGTCAAGCAGCTAAGAGTAGATAAATCTTAGATATTTCTAATTTGAGACTATAGAACGTTTCATAACATTTTACCAAATACAGATTTGGTACTATGTTGCTCGCTATTTAAAACTAATCATTATATAGTAATCTTTTATAAACTGCTTTTCCTTTGAAAATGACAAAACTACATTTGCTTCTGTCATGACTTTTCTATACCATGTTTTTCTCTTTGCCTGCATTTAAATCTAGAATTATTAAGCTGATTGTCTTTTATGGGCTACTAGACATGATGTCCTTTGTCACCTAGTTATGGACTTCACCTTTTAGTAGCATAAGAGTAATAGTAAAAGAGAATGTTAAGTTAAATTTTACAGGTTAAAGGCACATTTTGAGGAAGCAGTCTTCAATCTTTTTTGAAGAAGTAAAACTGTAAGGGAGCTGAGGATTTAGTTGAGCGGCACAGTGCCTGCTTGGCAAGCGCAAGGTCGTGAATTCAATTCCCGGTACCAGAAAAAAACAAAAAAACAGAAAAAAAAAAAGAAGACGTAAAACTGTAATAGCTGTTTGCGAATATAGCCTAATGTATGCTAAACTTTTTTTGATGTAGATGAAAGGTGTAATGTTTGAGATAAGCATTACCTAAAAATTGTCTAAAAGTGACATATACAGTATTTGAATGACTTATTTTTCAATTAACAGTTTAAATTATCAAGTCTTAATATGGTTTTATTGATTCCAGTATCTTTTGCACATTTAATGGCTTTCCTACTGTGTAACTTACCTATTAAGTATTTTTTGTAAGAATTAATTAGATAACCAGCTAATATATAAGAAATGTTAGGATATGATTAGTTCAGGTAATATCTGATTTTCTACGTAAACTACATGTAAAATATCAAAATATAAACATGGCTCCACTTATGTAATGATAATATGCTTGTAATTTTTTTTATTGTTGCAGCTTGTTAGAGACTGAATTAGCAGATTTGTTTGTCCCAGTAATTATAGGTGAAATAATTTCAAAAAAACCTAGGAGGGGCTTAGGGTATAGCTCAGTGATTCTGGTATAGCATGGCCAAGGCCCCAGGTTCAATTCTCAGCACGCCCCCATAAAAGTAGTTGTATGGAGTTGTACTGTCATCTGAAATAAATTTTCAGTAAATGTGAGTAGTCAATTAACACATATTATCTAATCCTCAAACAATTTTATGAGTTAAGAGGTTAATTTTACAGATAAAGAAACAGATTTCTCAAACCTATCACATAGCTAGAACCAGGATTCCAAACAACCTTTCTATAGGATCCAAGTCCTTACCTAGTAGATTAGATTGTGGTAGACTAAGGTACCACACTAGAGCTACACTGGCAACAACATTCTTAGCAAAGTCTGTCATACAGAGTCCAAGTCTAAAGTGTTTTGCTTCAGGAAGTATGTGTTTTTACTGTTAATGCTAATGAAAACATCTTTAGTTTCAGCCACTAATTCAGAATTTGTGAAAATTTAATGATATGTAAAATTAAAAAGTTGTAAGGGCTTCTTTATTTGAGATCTTACTGTTGACATTCAAGTAACATATTGATCGGAATAGGAAATGTTAGAATTTAATTTCATATTATTGAGTAGGGGTTGTGAAATAGTTGCTGTAAACAGCCGGAGAGTAAATGGCTTTGAGAGCCATATGGTCTCTCTTGCCACTACTAAACTCTGTGAAAGCAGCCATACACAATATGTTAACAAGAGAGCAGGACTATTTTCCAATGAAAGCACAGAAACAGACGGAAGCCTGCATTTAGCACATTTGCTGACTCCTGCTAGAAGAATCTTATACAGTAATTTCTGTAACGAAAAGCTAAGATTTGTTTGTGAGGAAACTGAAAGTTTTCCTTTATTGACTGTGTCGCAAGAGATTTGCTAAAAAAAATAGCAATAGTATAAAGGAAACTAGGAGTAATATCAAAATAGTAAAGAATACTTTTTCAGCATTTCTATGGTTAGATTATTTCATAATTCTAAAATGTACATATTTACTTATTTCTTAAAATTATCATTTCTAATATAGAAAAACAGATGTGATATTTGAAGTTTTCACTAATTGGATCAATTTTCTTTCCTTTATCATAAATAGGAAGATTTAATGTGAAAAGGTATCATACATAATTGGGTGATTATTTTATTAGATTGAATTTATTTTGATATTACTAGATAAGTCAAGATGTGTACATAGACATGTACAGTTGAATTTAGATTCAGAAACCAAGTACTCTGTTTTCAGTGTTACATTTTATGGATTCCTTATTGTAAGCAGTTTTGACTGTACAGTATAGTGCCTTTTGATATCACAGTATTTTAATAAATATCATCATATTGGCTAATATATAATATTGGGTATTAAATCTAGTATGAATATTCTTCTCAGAGATTCGTCAGAGAACAGCTGCTCAAAGAAACCTTTCTCCACCACCGGCAAGCTCTAATCAGGGGCCTCCTCAACAAGTTCCAGTATCTCCTGGACCACCAAAGGACTCTTCAGCCCCTGGTGGACCACCAGAAAGAACTGTTGTTACTCCAGGCCTTCCATCAAACATGTTACTAAGACGTCTTGGATCCCCTGCTACTTCAGTGCCTGGAATGGGTAAACAGAGCACTTAATGTTATTTACAGTTTATATTGTTTTCTCTGGTTACCAATAAAACAGGCCATTTTCAGACAGTATGGAAATGGCATTTCATTTGGAAATAGCAGAGCAGTTATCTGATTAAGCAGGAGTTCCATATTCAATTAGCCATAACTCTTTACAGCTGGCACCTTGTGATACTGAAACCTATTTCTTGAGCTCATTTAGCTGTTATGGCTTCTTTGTTTAAATGGCAATAAAACTGTAGTATTATTCTGTAGTCAACAGTATAACATATCTTTTTATATTCAACTTTAGAATGGCTTCAGATTTATATATAATAGGGATAAAAGAGAACACTTTTGGCAAGTACTTTGTTTTTCACTAATCCTTCCACATACTTTTTTTTGCAGGTACATTTTAAAATATGAAAACATATTTCGGGAAGACTGTTCCTGCATTGTAATGCTGACTGTTACTTTTGTTAATATAGATTATAGATTTTTTCTTTTTTCTAAGTTGTAGAACCTTAGTATTTTCTGATTAATTCTTCATTACCTTCTATTAACATTGCCTTTATATTTTATTTCTGGATTCCCCTTTAGTGTGGTATCTTTTTTTTTTTTTTTTTCTTGCCGTACCAGGAATCAAACTCACGACCTTGCGTTTGCCAGGCAGGCGCTGTGCGCTGAGCTGAATCCCCAGCGCCCCAGTGTGGTATCTCTGTAGGAGATTTTCATCCTGGAGTACACATTTAGCATACTACTCTAGGGGTTCTTTTGGAGTGTGAATGGAACATGGGAATACATAGTGTTAGCATATCCTATGATTTTACGTGAATTTCCATTTAGATGATCGATACAGTATTTATTTTAGGATACTTAATTCTAATTTAGATTACTTTTGTATTCATGGCTAATTATTAACATATAAGAATATAGTGATTTTGAAGCTAGGTAGTCGTTGACATAGGTAATCAGATCATTAATAAAATAAAAAATCTGAATGTTACTTATTTTAGACTTTTTGGCCTATTTTCCTTCAAAAATGCAGCATAAAATTTTAGAAGACTAGAGAATTATTAATTTATAAATAAATTAGGGAAGACTGACTACAAATGAAATGTATACAAATTTCATGCTTTTAAAATAACTTAGAAAAGTGCTTGTAAGTTTGACATATAACTATATTACTGTAAGTCAGCCATATTTTAGTGAAATTAGTTAAATTGATTGAAAACTACTCATCTTTCAGTTTTCTAGCTAAGGTACTCATTATTTATAAATTACAGGCTTGGTTGTTAAAGAACTTATAATTATGTACACTTGTGAATCTAGTTTTAAAGAAATAAAGTTTAGCAACTTATATACTAATAAGAACTGTATTGTACATGCAAGGCTACAGAAGGAACAATGACCTTAATTTCATGGACATGTAAACACATGTTTTGCTAAAGTTTCTAATTAGTTTCTGTGTGAAAGACTGTTTATGTTGTACATTGGCAAAAATATGACTGAGTTGAATGATTTATTATAGTATGGGTTAGTAATTCATTTTTTCATTGTACCATATTTGTAGGAGAGAATCAATTTAATATGTATTACCACAGAGCTCCCATATGTTTGAAAATTAATAGCCAGCAGGTACTTGATAATTTGCCAAGCTATGTAAAAATGACCAGTGTTCCTACAATGATTACTTTTGATGCTTATGTTAATTACTGTTGTCTATAACAGCATGAATGTGAAGGTGTATCATTTGAAGTTATTATTATGCAGGGGTTGGTTTAATATACGTCCATGAAATCTGTTCTTTTATATGTTCTGTTTGCTTTGTGGACATGTTTACTTTAAATATATAAAATAATGTAGCAAAAATTACATTAAATGCTTTCAGAATCTAATTTGGGAGCTGGGAATGGAGCTCAGTGTAAAATGTTTGTGTATAATGTCCTTCTTTGGTTGGTTGGTTGACTGATTGATTCCTTTGAGGCAGGATCTTGCTATGCAGTTCAAACTGACCTTGAACTCACTGTAGCCCAGGCTGGCTTTTAACTTGCAGTGATCCTATTGCTTAAGCCTTCTAAGTGCTGGAATTACAGGCATGTGCCATGTGCCACCACTGTTGGCATTGCCTTTAGTTTAATCCATAGCACTGATTAAACCAAAATATATCTAATGAGGCATGCTTCTTGAAGTTGAAAATTTGATCATGAGGAATTACAATAACAATCTTTATGCTTAATGTTCAGTAATTGAACATGATTAGCACAAGTAACCAATAATATTGTACGTACTTTATTAGTAATATTAAGAACTTGTTCTAGAAACTAAATTTCCTTTCTATCAGCAGTAATTTTGGTATCAGTTATCTCCATTTTAGATAGTAACAGTGCTTATAGTCATGTTTATTTACTTTAAAGGGAATAAAAAAATGTCATGTTTATTTATAAAGCACATCTGTTTTTGTTATTCCTTGAAAATACTAATGTAGTATTACTACTTGAAAGCTAGGCTTGGGTATGTTTGTGTCACAGGCATTTTGAAACATTGTATTCTTGTATTGCAAGGCTTATTCCAACAGGGTTCTTTTGTGTTTAGGAATCTTCATGTTAACCTCTATTGCTACCCGCCTTACCTCACCCTAATTAATGAATTATTAATCCTTGCTATAATAAATCGTTCAACTCATTCATATTTTTGGCAGTGTCCATCCTGTCTTGTTTTCAAAGGCAAACATATTTTATTTTAGTCTCAATTTCTTTTCAGTGCCTTTTGTGTTGTCTCTCAATTCAGGGTATCTCTTTCCAAAAGTTTTCTTTCAGTTTTCCAAAGTCATAAAGTTATAATTTATAGAATATAACATTTGATTGTTTTTTAAAGAGAAGAATAAAATTTATTATGTATACAGACATGGAAACCACATACAAAATATATGACTCATTAACTGTAAGATTTTTTTGTGTTATTTTAGTGCTTGTTTTGGGGTTTACAGTGTATATTTTTGATTGATGATAATTCCCCTTCAAATGATGATACCATTTCACATAGTTTTAAGAATCTAACAATATAGTATGTCTCCTTTTCCTGACCCTTGTGCTATTACTGTTGCATATTGTACTTCTACATACATTATAAAGCCCTCAATAAATCATTTTTTTCCCTTTATTTATTCAATTATCTTTTAAAGCACTTCACATAGTAGAAGTCTTGCATAGATAGCCATTTGGTAGCCATTTCAGATGCTTCTCATTTCCTTGTGTAGCTGTCTGCTGTTACTCTCCTTCTGCTTGAAGGACTTCTGTTAACATTTCTTGTAGTGCAGTACTTTTGGTAATGAATTCTTCCAGTTTTGAATGTATGAAAAAAGTCTTCATTTTGACTTCATTTTAAAAAGATGTTTACATTCAGAATTCTAGTTTGATACTTTTTTATTGGTATAGTTTATATATACATAATGATCACATTTATCATAATTTGTACCTGTACATGATATAACTTGATTCCTTTTTTTCCCTATAGTTTGATACTTTTTTACATCTCAAAACTTTAAAGATATTGTTTCATTGTCTTTTGGATTGTGTTTTTTCTTTTGAAAAGCCTGCTATCGTTCTTATCTCTGTTTATATATCTTTTAAGCAGTTTGATTATTTGTCTTTTGGTTCAAAATTCTATTTCTTGTGCTTGGAATTTGTTTGATGTTCTTAAATATGCAGGGTTGTAACTTCTATCGAATTTAGAAAAAAATGTATGTATGATTGGTGTGTGATTTTCTTCTCCCAGCTTCACTGTCTTCAATTTTACTTACACACACACACACATACACACACACACACACACACACACACACACACACCCCTTTAATCTATCTGGCTGATAGCCCTTTTTTGTTTATGTATGGTTTCTGCTGTTACATGTCTTCAAGGTCTCCAGTGTTTTTTTTCTGTATTGTCTAAATTGTTCACACCATCTGTGGATTTTTCATCGTAGACTTTATAATTTTTATATGTAGAAGTTCATTTGGAATATTTTTCCATGTCTCTACTTAACATACTGAGGCATTCCTCCAGATTCTCAGATATATGGAAAATAGGCATAATAAGTGTTTCAACATATTTACTTACTAATTTAAGTGTTTCTGAGCCAATTTTATTTAATTTTTATCCTTATGGATAGTATTTTACTGCTTACTCATATATCTATTAATTTTTGATCCGATACCAGACATTGCAAAATTTATTTTATTGGATAAATTTTTTATTCTGCTACAAAACCTTTATGTTTTACCCAGTAATTTGTGTGTTAGGAGATTTTCCACTCAATTTGATGAAAATAGGCACTATTTCTGGCCTGGTGTGAATACTGTTTTCTTTCATCTGTTGTGGGTGGTTTTTCTATTTTCAGGTAGTTTCTTTGAATGCATGCACTAATCAGTAGTCTGCTGAATACTCTGGGAGACCCTCTGAAGATCTATGAGTATTCTTTGTGCCTTCTCTCATCTTTGGTATGCTTTTATGTGAACCTGAGGTACCTTGGCCTCCCTAGCACTGTCTTCTCAACCCTTTGAGACTGCTGCATTCTCCCTCCTTGCACCACTGCCTGGGAGCCCCCTGTAGGCAGTAACCTGGGGCAGTTGTAGGGCATGTCTTGTTTTTCCCCTCTAAAGGAACAGTGACTTACAGTGTCTGATATCAAGTATCTTTAAGACTGTTACTGTATATATTTTGTAGTTTTTTAGTTTTTATCTAGGAAGGTTAACCTGATCCCTCTTATTCCATTACAGTCCCAAGTGGAAGTCCCCTAATTTATTATTAAAGACTTTTAGAGTGGGGTGTTTTAAAAATTAGTTTGCATAGAACCTAACATAGTTTTATCTCCTAATAAATTATGTTGGTGGTTTTGACGTAGCGTATATGTAAATACTTTTTTTGTAGTGCAGTATTTTTAACGAAAATTTAAATCTTCTATAGAGATTTATAAAAATGTTTGCTGTTGTTCAAATCTTTAAAAAACTCTAACAAACATAGTTCTTGGTAATTGACATAAGTTTTATATATGTTGTATACATATAAACGATATATATTTTTTATTTACCAGGTCTTCATCCTCCAGGTCCACCCCTAGCAAGACCCATTCTTCCCCGAGAACGAGGTGCACTGGATAGAATTGTTGAATATTTAGTTGGTGATGGTCCACAGAACAGGTACTGTTTTGCTAGGGTGGTAGAGGAAGGAAAATGAAAAAAGTCTTCAGGATGTACGTGTGTGTGTGTGTGTGTGTGTGTGTGTGTGTTTGTGCGCGTGTGCACACTAGATGCTCTAAATTTTTGGCTACTACTTTTTGATTTTTAGTAGGAGTTTGGACAAAGTCTAGTTAAAACTGATCTGGAAAAATAATCTTAAATCTAAATTAATTTTATAGAAACTGAATTATTTCAATGAAACTTTTAAACTTGAAGAGCATAAAAAAGAAAAAAATGTGTTAAGTTGTAAGAAATAGAATTTAATAGATGTCAGTACAGGATGGTAACACATTTAATATGATGAGAACAATTTACATTTATTTAGCACTTATAGTTATCAAAATACTTTTGCAATTATTATCTTATTTGGCCCTTGCTGTATGATATGAGCAGAGCAATTATCATAGTGTAGACTTTTAAAAAAATCAACTAGGTGTGATGCCTCACACATACAATCCCAGTACTTGGGAGGCTGAAGCAGGAGGATTGCGGTGAGTACAGGCCTACCTGGGTACATAGTGAGTTCAAGACCAAACTGGACTACAAAGCAAGGCACTGTCTCAAAAAGCAAACATGCACAAGCGCATATGCACACACACCCACACACGCGCACACACACACACACACACCATTGTAAGATGAATGTTTGACTTTACTAGTTAATATGATTTTTAAAGGGACTAGCTTTTTATGTTAATGTGGTCGATTGTGTGTTATTTCAAATAGGATTACTTTTGTTCAAGCCATATGTTTGTTGAGTATAGGTACAGAAAATAGAGAATGTGTATAAGTAGAAAATGAAAGGACATTTAAGTGTAACTGAGAAAAGTAGAGGAGCAATGATGTATAGAGAGTAACTGTTGGTGCATATTACAAAAAATGCATTTCTTTATTGCAAGATTTCTCAGAGGCTTTAATAATATTCGTGTGAATTGCTATAGGAGTTTCCAAACTTATCTTTTCCAAACTTATATGTGACCAACTATTTGGGAGTTGTCATCCTTCGAAATATACAGTGGGAAATGCTGAATTTTAAACATTATGTTACCAAATATTTTTCTGCTAACTTAGTAAAGATATAGTCAACTGTTGCTTAGTTTTCTTTTTAATTTGATGCATAAATTTTGTTTTAAATTGGTTGACCTTTTGGCTTTGGTTAACTTTTACTTTAAGGATTATCATTTATGATATACTGAGTAACATCTAATCTGTTAATGGCATATTATCTATGATGGCTAAAATAGCGCCTTTTATGAGCTGTGTCTGCTTCTGTAATTGGGATGTTCATTTTTTCTTTTTTTGTAGGTATGCCCTTATATGTCAACAGTGTTTTTCTCATAATGGCATGGCTTTGAAAGAAGAATTTGAATACATTGGTAAGAATTACTGGGCAGTTAGATTTAAATAGTTTACTCTTAAGTATTTCATTGTATGCCACTTCCCATGTAATGCTATTTTGTTTTAGATACTGTCTCTGTACACATTGGAAAGCATATTTGATACTCTAAGCAAAGCAGGGAAGACAATTCAGATTTCTTCTTCATGTAATGAACAGGCTCTAGGGCAGTTGTTCTTAAACTCGCTGTGCATCAGAATTACCTGAAGAGCTTTAGGAAATGAGGATATTCATTACCCACTTACCAAGAGTCTGATTTAATGGATCTGGAGTGAAATCTAAATAGCTCATTTTCTTTTAAACTCATAGATGATTCTCACTTGCTGCCACTGTTAAATACTCATGTGATAAATCATGCTTTTGAAATATGACATACTGCCTTTTTTTAAGCAAATTAACAAGTTTCTAGATTTTAGAATATCTAATGATTCCATTCTATTCTATTTATCATTCATTCATTCATTCTATTCAAGTTCAATAATATATTTAAATTATTATTAATATCATTTTGCTATCAGTTAACCTCCTGTTAACTTGTTATGTTATTCATATCTTAAAATTAGTGTTCTAATAATAATTAGGGAGTATGTCTTAAAATTAGCATTGGTTAGAATACCAACCATAATATTAAAGTAGCATACATTTCACAAGGTATGTTACTTTTGAAATATTCTTGACTATTTGCAAAAGTAATATTCTGAGTTACCTGTTTAGTCTTTGAACTTTCTTTGATTTGTGATTTTGCTTATTTTTTATTAATTCTCTGCAGCTTTTCGATGTGCCTATTGTTTTTTCTTGAATCCTGCAAGAAAAACCAGACCTCAGGCTCCAAGACTTCCAGAATTTAGTTTTGAGAAAAGGCAGGCAGTGGAAGGCTCAAGTTCAGTTGGTCCTTTGCCATCAGAAAGTATACTTTCATCAGAGAACCAGTTCAGTGAAGGTATGAATGTCAATTAAGTTCTTTGTCTCTTTATAATGTGTGTTATGTAACAATATTAAAAACATAATGCTTATAGATAACAGTGGATTAATTTATCATTTTGCAGCATGCATATGTCAGCTGTTGCTCTGATGGCCTCCTGTGTGGTATGATATGTTTCTATTTTATTTCATTTTTTTTTGCCTTTTGAGATTAGGTCTTACTATGTAGTTGATGCTGGCCTTGAAATCACCATTGTAGCCCAAGGTGGCCTTGAACTTGCAATGAAGCTCTTGCTTCAGCCTTCCGTGTACTGGGATTAGAGATGTACACCACCACACCTACAGCTACGTTTCAGTTTTAAAATGCAAGTTTTAGGGGTTGGGTATTTAACTCAGTGGGTTCAGTCCTCAGAAGCAAAAAAATTTTAAGGTGTAGATTATATTGTGATAAGCAGCACTTAGCACCGGCTAGATAAACATGGTATGAAGATTTAGCTCTTCTAAAAAAACCGTTGGGAATGTGACTGGTAATATTTTCATGGAATCATTTTTTAAACTTACCCAAGTGAAGCAGATTATTAAAAAACTATAAGGACAAAGTATTTTGAAGAGTTATGACTAACATCAATAAAACAGGTATGTGTCTACCACTCAAGTTGGTGAAAATTACCAGAAAGCAGGAAACTTTGGAACTGGAAGGTCATCTTTGCATTTTTTGGAACACTGTATCAATAAGACTGTATTCTATTGAAATAGTTTATAGAGGTCCATGAGATTAATATTGTCTTTAATATAAAATCAAACTTACATGGCAAGCGCAAGGTCATGAGTTCGGTTCCCGGTACCGGAGAAAAACCAAAAAAAAAAAAAAAAAAAAAAAAAAATCAAACTTACAGAAATAGAATTTGTCCAACCTTGTGTTTTAGAATTCATCTTGCCATTCTATTTGAGAAATTTTTGAGGAAGTTTCATTAAAAAAAACCCAAAAGGGTAGGGTGAAAGAGCCAGCTGTTTCTTGTTATTAATATTTGGCCAGGAGTTCTTTGTTAATTGCCTCTAATTACAAACATTGCTAAAATTATGACACAGGTCATGATATTTTGGTGCTATGTCTGGTGTAGAGTGTATATTTGAAGTTTAGTTCATGATTTATTTTGCAGTCTCTATTCACCCTTTTAATTTTTAAAAAATTATCAGTTACATATATTTAATTTCTTCTTAAATTATTAAGTATTGCAAAATTGGCTTTAATGAGCACTACATGAAGCAGTGAATTTTCAAATATCAGAAATTTAGTGTGAGAGTTGAAGTTCTTTTCGACTTTGAAGAGTGAACCTGAAACGTGTTGAACTAGGCTTGGCTTTTGGCTTACTAACACCAAAATGAATTTGAATACGGATAGCTATGACAGAGGCCTGTGTACTTCCGATGCTAAATGAATGCATTCGTCTTCTTCAAGTCTGCAACGTCAACTCCAAACAGAGTCACATTTTTTTCTTTTGCTTGTCATGCTCTGAACTGCATGCTGTCACATGCAAACCATCTGCCTTGCCATTGCAGCCTCTTGGAACTGAACATTAAAAGATTTCATACTGAAGATGCCTAGAGGAGAAATTGAAGTCTTTTCCATGAGTACCCTTGTTTATGAAAGCTAAATGTGAATATGTGAAAGCCAATAGTTCGGATTAAGAAAAGATTTTTTTAAAAAGGAAAAGAACAGAAAAAGCAGTCAACAAAATAAAAAGTTTTATAATAGGTCCCATGTTTTATTTCTTCTGCTAAGATCAAGATGGGTAGTTAGCAAACAACACCCAGCTGTACCTTTCCTTCTCATCTAATCTAGGAGGAGCAATACCCCAGATGTCTCATTTTCTGTCTGAACTCTCCGGAATGAAGACTAACTGGCTCAAACTCAACCCTAATAAGGTAATGTTAATAGGTGAGACCAAATTTGAGGCAGGGTCTGATGAAACTGAAGCAACAGTACCACTTGCTTAAAGTTATTTTTAGAGTAGCAACAGTTTTCTTGCTTCTCTTTGGATTCATCCAAGTGGCCATGAGCATCTTTTGCTTTTTTGACTTTCCAGAAGATGGAAATTTTTTTCAAAGACTGCTGTCACCACCTGGTGATAAGGTTGTCAGTTCCAAGCTGGATTCCTTTAGTAACGAGTGGAGTATTTCTGATGATGTCATCTCAATCGTCTACTCTGTGCCAACAGCCAATGTAGCTGGAAGCTTAGATTTGTGATTTCTTCAATGATGTAGAAAATTGAGGACTGGAAAAAAAAAAAAACTTGCTTTAATTTTTGTATTCTGAAATAGCCTCTTGATAGCAGCGGAAACTGTAGAGAGTAGGTTACTGAATTTACAGACGGACCCAAAAGGTAACTTTCTTCCATGTACTTTTTTCTCTCAGCAAGTATCAGTAACCATTTACATGAATGATCTAGAAGGAATAGAAGAAACTTTTGTTTTCCTACTCCGTGACACAAGCTTTTAAAGTTTTTTTGCCTGGATTGTGATATTGGAAGGTTTTGACTTAGAATGAGGCACAAAGCTTTTAAAATTTCTGAAGTACTCGTTAGACAACATGTGGAATCTTGGAAAGTTTTCATCAAAAAGACTTAGAAGAAATTTCTCCCGTAAATTGTCATTTGAATTTATATATTTTTTTCCTATAACTGTTGTCCTGATACTTTGGTAACAGAGAAACACAAGAAATTAGGGATATGGACTATCTTCTCTGTCTGAGAGCACACAAGATACAGTATGTAAAAAATTATAAGCTGCTTTTAGATTTCTGTTTCTTTTATGATTAAATGAAGTTCAGTAATACTTGATTCTCTGCTAAATACCATTAAAATGGTTTGTAAAGTCTCTGAGCTGCTTTCTAAAGTATCTGATACATAGCATTCTTGTTGATGTGATAATCTTTTTCTACATTATAGTATACTATTAAAGTGATTTTTTTTGATAGCATGTTTTAAAAAAGTTAATATTTTGTTTTCATTGTTCATTTGTGTTTGTCCAGGTCTCATATAATTATTTTAATAGAAAACAGCTTTTATACAACTGTAAATAATAATAAAACTCATGGTATCTAAATAAAACTATCAAAAAATAGTAAAAATATATGGTGAAAATTTCCTTGGTAGTCTGATTTCTGGTGTTCCTTTCATTTACAAAAATATATTTGCCACTAGGTTATGTTGAGTGAAGGAAAATTCTACTTTTAGTATTTTTGTTGTGATGCTCTTTAAACTATGTGGTAATGAACATTTTATTGAATTTTATGTATTTATCAGATTCACAAGTTTATGCCTTTGTTTATATTTAATTGTGTTCAGGTTTCTCAAGATACACATTTACCTGTGTTGCATGTTTGTCTTAAATATAGAGATCTTCTGAGCTTCTGATTACTTTATCTAGAACACCTATACCTAATACTTAGGTTGTAGCTCATCGCTTAATAATGAAACAGATAATACTTAATTTGTTCACAGTGGTAAATAATTAAATAATTAAATGGTATTCTGTGTTGAAAACTAGCTATTTTTCTGAAAAGTGATTATAATTTGAATTTTATTGAGTCATTGGGTTGAGTTACAATGATATTCATGCCCTTGTTCCTTAAATATGTTTGCCTTTTTCCATAAAACAGGAAATTCTTATAAAAACTACCTTGTTTGAAACCTATGAAGTTGAAGACAAATTGTCAATTTTAATTTAATGATATTCTTTGTATAAGTTTATGAGTCTTACACATATACTGAGCATTGCTATATTAGGAAGGCCTCTTTTTCATGGTGTAAGGAATTCATTCCACAGCCATATATACATGCTAGGCAACTACTCTGTCACTAAGCTATATCTCCAGCCTGTTAAAAAATTTTATTTTGAGATAAAGTCTTGCTAAGTTAGCTCGCCTGTCCTGGAACTAGTGATTCTTCTGATTACAAGCCTGGGATTACAGACATATGCCACACTCCTGGCTAGGAAGGCAAAATTTTTATGTTAGCAAGGCAAAAATAAACGAAGTTGTTTTGCTAGATAATTCTTTACTTTTCTTAGAAAATTACATTTTTAAGAGATAGGGTTAAAAACCTAAAGGTAAGGTGAAATTCTTACATGAGTTTTGCATGTGTGTGTTTTATAGGGGATGCAGTGATACTTGTTATACAGTTACACTCAATTGTACAAATTTGAGTTGTCTGAGTTGAGATTTTGCCCAAACAACTTGGTAGAAAAAACTTTCCTCTCAAGAATATTAATGTGGGGAGGGCCAGGAGTAGGGAAAGAAATTCCATTTTGTTTTTATTTTCATTTGTGTTCATTTTATGACATTGTGATATAGTGTTTTCTTCAAATTATAGATGCCAAAGTTGATTAAAATTTTTTTTTATACAGACAGAATTAAGTTATTTTAGGTGGCCATACTTAGACCCCTAGTCTTCAGCTAGGTTACAAGACAAAAGTAGGCCTTTTTATTTAGTGAGAATACAAAGACTGCTTTTTCTTTTAGTATTTTGTGGAAAATTAGTGTCTGAAATTATTTTATACCACTAAGCTATTTTTAACTACAACTTTATAGGAAAATATACTGTATTTATTAGACTAGTCAAATGATTCTCTACCTTAGAAATAAGTTCTTTTGGAGTAGGTCATTATTAGTCTTATTGTAAACCTCTGAGGTTTAGTTATGAAACTGATACACATTTTTCTGTTAATCCTTTACACCTAGTTTGTTTATTTATTTTACCTAGTTCATTTAGATCTTGTTTCTTCTTACAATGTAGAATTGGCTTCTAAACATAAAGTACCTATCTCATTTAGACCAACTGATGTCTAAATGTGTTATAGGCATGTCATATACCAGTTTTTTTTGTAGGCATGTCATATACCAATTTTATTGTTACTACTATTGCTTTTCTGAAAATCAACCCAACCAAAGAAAAGTAGTTAGTAGTAGGCTGTTTATTATACTTCAAGACCTACTCATCATTTCACCAGTTTTTTAAATCGTCTACATATTCTCTGAAATACAATATTAACTGAAAACTTTACCATGTTTTCTAATGGTAGCACATGACACTTCTTTGAATTTATATATTCCCTCTTTGTAGTAACTATTTTTTTTATAAACTGAGAATTTTTTAATTGGTTTTGACTAGTTAAATATCTGTTTCTGAAAATTGTAATATCACAAAATTTAATGTGATAAACCTTCAGTTTGATACCTCTTGCATTTTACTACATAAGAATTGCTGTTTATTACAACAACAAAAAGAAATACCTCAAAGCTGTATTTTTATCTTTGACTTCGAAATAATGTGGCTGAAACTTTGTGTGCGCCTGTCATCTCCTCCTCCATCTTGTTCTTTAAACTTTAAAGAATTAAAGGCAGTTTATTTAATAAAATTGTTATTATGGAATTGTTATTAAAGAATTTAAATTTAATAACACTCAAAATGTGTTAAAAGGAGTAAATTTCTAGGTTGAGACCAAGAACCTTACTTACCTTTCTTTCTTTTCTAGCATGCTAGGTATATAGTATATTCTGATTCAGAGATTTAAATACCCAGGACTTCTCTTGCAGAGAAATAATGGGAGACTTGTCATGCCTTTGGAAAAAATGAATTCTGGCATCCACAGTCCTTGAATTAGATAAATGAGGATAGGAAAGCACCACCTAAACACACACACACATGTGTATTCATGCATGCATACACCGAGAAATACACATTGACACGTTGCTTGCAAGCAGAGGCGCTGGGATATAGACCTTTGAGGAAGTCTGATCTGGTAGTACATGCAGTACCTATGTGTGCTGTACTGTTGTTTTACAGCACATGATTCTGGTGGTACTTTGAATTTTGGACATTCAACTTACAAATGTATCTTTAGGAGCTTATTTTGTATGGAAATATGGAAAGTGTGGTTATGGACTTACTAAAATATGGTACGCTATAGAGAATTTAGTACTTGCTTTAAAAGATTTGAATGGGCTAGGGGTGTAGCTCAGTGGTATAGCACCTACCTAGGATACATGAAGCTCTGGGTTTAAGTTTCAGTACTGACCAAAAAAAAAAAGATTTTAAGTATATCTAGACTGTTCTGCTGTTTTTTTTAGTTTGTGTTATATGCCCACGTGTGTGTGAATGTTCATCTTTTACTTGCCTTACTTAGCAGTTTTAACATTTGGATCTTTCTGAAGTCTTGAATCTGTCTTTTCAGAATCTTTAGAAGAAGAAGATGTTCTTGATAATAGTACAGAGAAGACAGATGACAAAATATCAGCTACAGAGCAAACACACCAAGTGATTGAAAAAGCATCTGGCTCAGAGGAACTAGAGGAAAAACACGAAGAGACTGCGAATGAGGAAAGCTCAAGAAATGAAGCCAAATCTACAGTTCCTGGAGCGGATTCTACTCCTGACCTTGAACTCAGTGGAGAACCTTTGATGATGAAGTAGTAAATCCTTCGACGTGCCTTCAACTGGATATTTGTTGTCTTGTTGATATCAGTTTTTACTTTTTTGATGGTACTTTAAAAAACTTTTTTTTTTTTGCTCCTCTAAGTATATGCTTTTAAATTCAGATCATCTAGCAATTTCAGTATGTCAAAGTTACATGTACTGAATGCTAAAATTATAAGCAAGTGATATCAGTGAAGTAAAATCCTTTCGAATATACAAAGACCAACACTATTTAGACAGCTTTCAGATGTTTTATGTCCATTCTAAAAGTCAAAACAAAAAAAGCGTTCTTGTTTTCTGTACATAATATCTGTAAGTATTATCTATTTTGACATAGGAAGGACTTTTGTTAGGAATAATTTCTCTAATAGTGTTTAGGGATTAAACGCAATACTTTGTTATTAAAAACAAAGTGTTAAGTCTTGAGATATTTGCCAGTGGGGAGTAAATGTCTACTTAGGTGTTTACAATAATTGAATGAAAGTTGTAACTGTAACTACAAGACATTGGTACGAACTCTCAATAAGAATGCAGTTCAACAGTCAAGTGCAGTGTTTCTTTTGATGTTTTTTATTTTGCAGCTGGGCCAAAGGCACATGATGTATATAATTAGTTTATGTTTACATATTAACATATAGGAAATATATGTGCACTTGACTGTACTTGAATTCTTAGTATTATTTATACTTGTTACATAATGATGATACATGAGTGAATTTTGTGCTCTTGTGTGTATTTTATTAAGGAAATAAAGATAATCTGGTAGCAATTTTTTTTTTTATATATCTAAACTTCAAGTAGTGTCTTGGTGGATGACTTCGCTAACTGAAAAATGTGGGTAGGAAGAACTTCACAGTATGTTGATTCTATTTAGAGCAAATTATAATGCTTTTTATTCAGATAGCAGTACTAATGAGAGGTTAGATCTTTTAAATTCTGAAACACCTCACGCCATTTGTAGTTTTTACCTTTGAGGAGACAAATATACTTTGTGAGACTAGGCAGTTAATTGCCAGTAGTTCATTGGATTAAATAAATATGTAAGATCAAGTGGGAAAAAATTTTGACCCAGAAAGGTAATTCTTAGAGTTTAAGTACAGTGTGGTTATATGTTTATTTCTCTTCTCTAATATTAAAAGAAAAAGAAATCAAGTTATTATGCCAAAGGGAAGAATATATAAGGAGAGTGTCTGGCTAGTGTTTTGGTATACACAGTTTATTAAAAATTGAGTAAAACATTTAAAAATTCCTTTCTCTGACTTAATATCTCATATCTGAGGTATTTCTAAAGAACCCAATCTGTTAGTAGTCTGGAGGTACCTTCGTATAGTGGCCACAGTTTTTAAGTATATGGAGCTGAACTTCAGTTCCAGTTCTGTAATCTTAGACGAGCCACCGAGCCTTGCTGTAACTGTTTTCCCGTTTGTAAAATGGAAAGAATAATGCCTGTTTTTAGAGGTACTACGGTGATCAAAAATAATTTATGTGTTTGAAACTGGGCCCTTACTGACTGATAATTAATGAATGTTAAGTAAGTAGAATTTGTTATTATTGACATTCTTGTGAAATATAGAAGGGGCTATAAATCTTTCTTCTGTCAGATAAGGAAGTTAAAAAATAATGTAAACATGCAATCCAGCTGCTCAGAATGGAGCCAGTGTCCTCCATCAGCCTTGCCCCAAATATGTATATAAATGCAGAGATTAAAAAAATAGGAAACTGAAACTGGAATATAATTTTTAAGAGGAATGTCACCACTGTGTGTGTATGTGTGTGTGTGTGTTTGGCCCATATACATTTTAGCAGCACCTTGCAGTCTTGATATAAAATATTCAAATTCTGATATATATTGCTTGAAAATGAATACCTCAGAGAAATATAATTGAGTGGTAGCACCAATCAGATGTTATGAGAACTATCTTTAAAGAAATGTGCAAAAAGTTAAAAACAGGCTTAGTACAATTAATGCAACAGATAATGTGCTTGTGATTGTGTAGTGTCTTTTATAATAGAAAAGTTTATTCTGCTATTATTGTAATAAATAATTAATGGTTGAAAGAGTAGTAAAATGTCCAGTTTTTGATTAGGAGTAGTATAAATGAAGAAAACTGAACTATTAAGTACTACTAGCCAGAGTGATCATAATTTTCCTACTTACGACTACTCAACAGATCATTGTCTAAACTCTCTTCTCTGTGCCCTGAGTGTGATCTGCAAACATGGTCTTTCTTTTCTCTCCCCTTTCTACCCCTGTCTTTGTATTATAAATACATGGGCCTCCTCCTTTTGATTCTCTGGCCATGTTAGCTCTTTCTTGCCTATCTGTTTCAGCTTAAATTTTCCCTCCTTAGAAAGATACCTTCTCCATATGTGATGCTGGCCTCTGCTTATGGATTGTGTCATGTTTCTCTATTTCTGCTCACTGTCTTTAACGCAGTTTTTAAGTGTTTTGTCTGCTCATTTTTTGTACTCAAAGCATGAAGCTTGTAATATTGTAAGCAAGACTGTATGGTGATGCAAGCAAAGATGTTACTTCTACATCTGTATTTTGAGAGCCTTGTACAGTACTTCACTTACTGTGTGAACGAATAACTTCGTTGCTAAATCCAATGAAAAATTTCAATGCTTATTTCATTGCTTGGCGGTTTGAATTTGTTGAGTGCGTCCCCTGAAATCAGGCTTTTTTCTTTTGGCTTTTGACATATCATGCTTCTGTTTTTTGTTTTCAGTGTCCTTTGCAGAATTCTCCCCTGCACATCCTTTAAGTGTTGGTGCTCCCTAGGTTCTGCCTATTGTTGCTTCTTCATACTGTATACGGTTTCTCTAGGAATTCTCATCAGTGCCCTTGGATTTAATTGCCATTATTCTCTCTGAATGTCAAATCTCTAGCTTTGGTCTGTTTCCTCCACAGCTCTTACAACTGATAACATTAAAAAAAATGTGCACATACTCTTCAAACTTCGTGTTTTTCATCTACCAAATGGCGCAACTATTAAAACCAGAAACTAGAGTCTGTTCATGTATCCCTTTTCTCTATATCCAAGCTGTCCACTCCTAAGCCTTAAACATAGAATCTCATTTCTCTGTCCCACTCATGTGACTTAGAAGAAAATACTACTCATGATAATAAACATTACTCCACTGAGCAACATGCTGACTACTGGGCATGTATTATTTCACTTGTTAATTGGCAGCCCTCCTACAAAGATTCTTATCTGTGCATCAACAGAAACTGAGCTGTAGAGAGTATGAGCAGCTTGCTCAAAATTGTACACGTGGTACATGGAAAATCAGGGAATTGAATATAGACAAGGGACTTAAAATGCATTATTATTACTACTACTCCTACTCCTCTATTATTACTGTATTTGGTGCTGGGGATTGAACGTGGGCCTCACACATAAGTGCACACTCCACCTTTGAGCTACACCTCTACCCCCTAGAGCCCTTACTCTTAATTACCATTGCACTGCCCTCTAATTCATGCTTCTGTCATCATTGCAGATTGCCAAAGCTGCCTCTTAACTGCTTTCTCTGTCTATTCTGTGTACTGCAGCCTAAGTGAGTTTTCAGATATGGAAAATGAATCATGCCAGACCACTGCTTACACCCTTTGTGATTCCTCACTGTTCTTGGGATAATGTCCAAACTTCTGTGGCCTAAAAAGCCCTGTGACCTCTGACATCAGTTTTACACAACTCCTACCACCTCCCATCAATTACCCAGATTTTATTGTAGCTATTCTAATCCTTCCTGTACAGGGTGTGCAAAGTTTTCCTTAATGTCTCAGCCTTCTCAAGCCCTTGAACCAGCTGAGATACTTTCCTACTCGTAGATACTGGGGCCACTGAAAACCTTTTGAAAATTTTGCTGCTTCTTAAACTATCCCATTTCCTCTTGAAATTGTTATTTTTCATCATGTACTCATAGTATACATTCAGTACACATTCATTTGATACGGAGAATATATTGAGTCAGGACGCTGATAGCTTTGTGTGTGTTGTGTGTGTGTGTGAGTGTGCACATGTTGAGAGATTCTGATTATATGATCTTCATTAAATATTATGTGCTGAGTTGCAGAAATGCTAGATGACTAAGTCATAGGCACACTGGGCATCGGAGCCAAGCTAGAACTCAGATCTCAACTCAGTGCTTTGTTTCAAATTTATTAAACTTCTAAGAATATTAATCTACTGACAAGTAAATGTAAAAGTATATAAATATGTAAAGTGTCTTTGCTAAAAACAATTGAGAATAAAAATTTAAATTAGTAAAAAATTAACACTTTATTGTAGCAACCCAGGAACTGTTGAATTGTCTAATTTTCTTCCTCAAAAAAATTAGTCTGTATTTTCTGCTTCAATACTATTTAAAAGTACCTTCTTAAAGATTGTTGAATTGGTTAGATAGAAGGTGTCTTCCTAATTTGCTCATGATCAGTGTGCCCTTTCATGAAACTGGTTCCATTTAATTTTCCATTCTTTCTGCTGCAGAGCTCTTGTTGATGTTGTGTATACAATTGGTAGACTTAGAAGATACTATTAAATTGTGTCTAGTTGTATAGTTCCATATTATTTGATGCTTTTATAAATACAAACTTCCTGCATAATACACTTTATCAAGTATTTATACCTTCTATTTTCTCTTTGGCATCAAAATTGGTAGAAATTTGAAGTACTCTGGGAAGATTAAAAAGTATTCTCAAAAATCTCCCTCATAAATTAAATTTTTAAATTCTTAGTCCAGGAGTCTTTGAGAACAGACCAAATTTTAAGCTGCCAAAGACTTTACCAGATCTCTGGCACTTGTTTTAGGAAAAGTGGGAAAAATAATTTATTTTGATGGAAATAAATATGTCTTTGTCTGATTTTCAACAGTGAAGAAAGTGGAGAATTGAATGAATATTTTTCAGTTACCTACTCTTACCCAGTCAGGCCTTGTGCTATAGGTGTAATTACATACATTCTCCTAGAGCTCTCCCAGTGACTCTGATCAGGCAGAGATTATTTTCCAACGAAATAGATAGATAGGTAGGTAGGTAGATAGAATTTTGAACGTAGGATCTTTTAAATTCTTTTTCTTTTCATTACCTGTGAGCACTGTACTTCTTAGGTAGCTGAAATAGTCTTTGTGGTTTTTCATATTTTTGTGATAACTTACTTTAGGGTAGTTTTGTTTTTCTTAATCTCACACTTGTCAGACTATTCACACACCCTCTGTTGGAATCACTTCATAATGATATCTCATGAAGGTGGGGCCATGTCTCTTTTTGTTCATCATTATATCCTTGGTACCTAGTATACAGAAGAAACAATATTACCCGTAGCATGTGCATATATAGAGCACATAGAATATGAAATATTGATGTAACTAAAGGTTTTGTAGTTTGAACAGTTTTTAAAATCTCAAAATTTTTCAGTTATTTAGTAGGGGAAACCTAAATAACTTTTTCCTCACAAATCTTTTAAAATACCAGTTTGCTTAACAGCAGACTAGGCAGGTTGCATGGGAGCTCTTCAGAATGTTAATCACCTTTCCACCTTATTTCCCACTTCTTGCCCTTATACTTTGACCACAGATGAGTATTTTGTATTTTTTTCACATTTTAAAATTCTAAAGAGAAAACAAAACAAAAGAAACAAAGTCAAAAACAAAACAACTAAAAACGATACAAATGATACAGCATTTCAAGCCAAGGTGATAGGAATTTAACAGTTGTTGTATTATGTATTGTTATCTTCAAAGACATGTTCTCAGATCACCAGACATAGGCATGCAAGATCCATAAAACAAGTAAGCATTAACTGTTCTTTCAACAAACCAGTAGAAATCAGTAGTACAGTTATCCCAGCTATTTGTGTATATATTTTCTTTTTCCTCTTTTCCTGCATCCCAGCTGTTCATTACTTTGTTTTTGTTTGTTTGTTTGTTTTTTTGTTTTTGAGACAGCTGTGCAGTTCAAGCTGGCCTTGAGCTCACTTTGTAGCCCATGCTGGTCTCAAACTTGCAATGATCCTCCTGCCTTAGCCTCCCAAGTGCTGGGAGTGCTGGGATTAACAGGTGTGCTCCTTCCTTTTAAAAAAAGATAAACATAACAATGAAACTGAGTTTCAAAACAGGTTATTAGAATAGCTTCAGTAGTTGATACACTGTGTATTGTTGTCTTCCTAGTAGTAATTCAGAGATATTTTTGTATTTCTGAGCTATGTACTGCACTTCATGATGCTATTTTTGCCGGCTGCTCTGTAATCTGAGTGGTATTTTCTTTAGTTTTCCTAAGCAAGTATCTGCTTTTTTGTTTACCTTGTACTTTACACACTGTATGTAACAGTGTCTCCAGAACTCTTTAGTTATGTCTGTTTCCTTCATTTCATTGTGTTTCTCAATTTCTATTTTATTCCTCTTGATCTCCTCGAACAAAACAGCACTAAAGGAAACCATACCAAAACCTGGCACAGTACCTGCTACATGTATAATTTAAGTAGATTCATTCAAGTAAGTGATGGACTTTGTCAGCGCCAGTGTTTGGCGTGCTACCCCTACCTGAAACCCTACAAATAACAGAGTTGGAACTGTGGGCACATTGATGGGGGACCATTCATTCCTTTCTGGGCTCAGTACCTGATGTAAGAGACACTCAGCACGAATGGGCTGAGCTGGAGATGAGCCACGCACATATGCCAGGGTGGGGTGTCAGTGCAGGACCTCATGCCACAGTTGCATGAGCCCAGTATTTGGGTAGAATTTTTAAATTGCCTATAAAATAATTTGTGTTTAACAAACTCCTGAAAACTTACACACAAACTTAACTCCTTAACACTTGCACATAGTAGGCAAGTACTCTACCACTGAGCTACCTCCCTGTATCAGTCAATCTTTGTCACTGGGACAAAATACCCAACACTTACAATTTAAAGAGTTTATTTTGATTAATGGTTTTAGAGAGTTCAGTCCATGTTCAGCCAACTCCAGTGCAGAAACCGGTTGGTGGAAGGCCAGACAAAGGAAACCTGCTTGTGTCATAGGAGCCAGGAAGCAGAAGGGAGGAGCTGGGTGAGAATCCACTGTGCCAAGTCATTGTCTTACCCTAGTGACTCACCTCCATCCAGGCCCGACTTTCGAATGTGAGACTTCTGGTGGAATGTTTCAGGTCTAGGCTATAGCACCACCACTATATTGATTTTTATTCCCTATCTCATTTTTAATGCATTTGATGTTGTGACCATAATTAGGAATTTTCTGGCTTAAATTGCTGCTTTTCTGACATCTGACAGGGCCTGGATACACATACACACATGCACATAATACAATTTTAAAATATTTCCTCTTTGAATATATAGAAAACAAAAATTCAGATTTTAAGGTTGAACAGTTGCCTTAAAATGTTAATGGTACCTGGTGAATATAATTAAAATGTGTATTTTATGAACTATAAACTATTTTTCTAAATATGAAGCTGGCTACTGATGTCTTAACTGTCCATAGCAGAAGTTCTAAAGGCTTTGCCTAACAGAAGTTGAAATTTTTTTTTTAGTTACAGTGGTTTGCTTTGTAAAATAAACTTTTCCCTAGCATCCAAAAAGAAATATATTTGGAATGAACTTGTATTCTCAGTTATGTGTTCACGTAGCCAAAGAATAGATGAATCTTCAAAATGGGTTGTTACAGAGTTTATAAGATCTAAAGTGAATACAAAATGAAAATGGCTGTGGTTAAGACATTTTGGGTGGATGTTATGTTTCTCTTATCCCTTTTTAGAACTTTATTCTTTTGGTTTATGAAGATCTACACTCTTTTGCTTCTTCATATGATCTTTATCTCTTCCGTAACGCTAGCTCCTGTAGTTTGGCTTGATGAAATTAAATTTTATTTCAAAATAATGCGCTACTCAAAAAAATGGGAATTTTCGTTTTCCTACTGTCTTCCCTCTCTACTCTCCTCACACCCTAGCCAAAAAAAGGAGAAAGCAGTACTTTAGGTTTTAGTAGATTCTGATAAGGTCAGTTTATCCACCCCAGCAAAAAATTGTAAGCAGTTCGAGTCCAGCAGGACTATACAGCACTGCCTTGAGGTCAAGATGGCAGAAGACTACTAAATTGTGTGTCAGCCCAGTAGTGCTGTATATTTAGAGTTGGAAGAAAAGAGCAGG